GTAGGTCTTTGGGCAAAGGGTGCTTTCTGATGGTCAGTGTAGATTTGGCGTTGTTTCGCAGATTCCCAGAGAGACCTTTGTAAAATTGCGTGGCACTTGAGTGTATAGTGGGGTGAAGCTGACAAGATATCCTGCTAATGAGGCCCCTCGATCACTGAGCTAAAAATTTGATAAACCCTCGTAGGAGCAGAGTTCTTGGAAGTATGAAGGTTCTAGAACAAGGTTTCCTCCCGTTACTCTTGTTTTCACTCTTTTTTTTTATGAAGGGGACGCCTGTTTTGAGAAAAGTGCACAAGACCTCCGGGTGCAACTTGGAACGCGTTGCTGCTGCGCTACCAGTATACCATAGTACAAGCAGCTCCCAACAGTTAGAGGGTGCAGGGTTTGCGGTTCGGGGTCCTCCCTGGCACCTATTGAAAAAAGTTTGAGAGATAGTGCCACTGATATTGGGGTTCGGGGTCCTCCCTGGCACCTATTGAAAAAGGTTTAAAAGATAGTGCCACTGATATATATCGGGTGAACCTTTATGATTGGAGCAGTGGTTGCGGAGCGTGAATATGACTAACGGTAGGGGGATTTGCGGGAGGAGTTTTATCATCACTAGTACGTTTTTTAATCATGGCCGCTGTTACCACGGTATTCATTCATAAGACTACGATTGTAAACCGTATGCGCTTTGCTGCTGTAGGCAACCAGCTGAGCAAACAGTGAAGGAAGGCGATTCTGGGTGTATTATCCATTCCCTACTAAGGACAAGTAAGCTGCCTTTGGTGAGCATACAAGCCTGGCTTTTACCGCCCCAAACGAAATCTCGCGACAGCCACGCGGGCCGAAAACTTTGGTAGCTCAGTGACACTTGCAGCTGTCCTCTTCCATCTTTGCCATGGCGGGTGCACCAGCAGCTCTTGCTTCGGGTTCCGCATACAAGCTCTCCAGCGGCTATGACATGCCAATGGTCGGGTATGGTACTTTCAGGCGGGAGTGCGTCCTAGTACCCGGACCTTAAAATAGGTAAGAGATGGGCGCAAACCCCTCAGAATGGCGCAAAATTCAGAATTCCACATACATTCAAGATCCTTGTAAACCTAAACCCTTAACCCTGAATCTTGAGGAGGGTTCCCCCCATAATCCCTTAGAGAAGAGGCCCTAGGGCCTCTAAAGGACCCCTATTTCCAGAGACCCCGAATCCTAAATCCTGAGCCCTGCGCATCCCCAAATAAGCCCTTTAGGGGCTCTTCTATACTAATTCTTTTCGAAGCTATGAAGCCTAAGCCAGAAATCAACCCTCAATCCCAAACCTTTAACCTTTAAGCCAAGCTTTAAACCCCAAACTCCTGACACTCTAAACCCTCAACCCAAGACCCTAGACCACAAACGCCAAATCCAAAGCCTTAAGCCTTGAACCCTAAACCCAAACCTGAAAGAAGTCCCAAGGTCTGACCCTGGCGTTGTTAAGGGCGCTGTCCTGGAGGCTATCTTACCTGTCCATGGGGATGTTGGGTTTAGGGTTTGGGGGGGACACTGTTTAAAGTGTCGGGTTTAAGTTTAAGCGTGGGGGTTTGGTGGGGATAGCCTTAGGCTTCTTCAGCGTTATCCGACATGAACCAAGCGGTCCTAGATACTGAAGCCTAAACCCTACACCTGAACTCCCCAGCCCTAAGCACCGAATCCTCAATCCCGACCCTAAATCCTACACTCCCAGCCCTGGATCCCAACCCTCAAACCCCAAGCTTTCAACCCCAGAGCGCAAACCTGCACCTCAAACCGTAAACCCACTGGATACCTAGGCTATCAAGGCAGGCTACAGGCACCTCGACTTGGCGCACGTGTATCTGGGTTCAAGATGGAAACGGCCGTATCCATAACCGCCAGAAGTGTCCTTACAGGACTTTATAATCATAAGCCTTAAACCTCCTGTAGTAAGAGGAAATCCTACATCCTGAAGGCTTTGACGGTTTGGCCTTACAACCCCTATATTATGATCCCTGTGTAACCCTAACCGAGCCTCGAAAATACCCTGATGTACCCCTTTATAAAAGGGTTGAAGGTATGGGAACGAGAAGGAAGTGGGCGAAGCCCTCAAGGAAGCCTTCGCGTCCGGTGCAGTGAAGCCCAATCATGCTCAGTCGGGGATTTCTGAGGTCTTTACCATGGACCCTTAAGGTGGGCCCTAGGTACCTCAAAAGGGACGGGGGGTATAGGTTTAGGGTTTAGGGTTTGGGGCTTTAGAGTTTGAAGTCCTAAGCATCATGCACCCTTAAGATGAGCCCTTAGCAGTTCCCAGGTCCTAAGTATGGGCTCATAAGTGGGTTTGTTGAGGTTCTGGGTTGGCCTTTGGGATATTTGATTTCATACAAACCCTGGATACTAATTTTTTTCTAAAGGCACCAAAGGCCAACCAGGGGTTTATAAGGCCGTAAACCCTAAACCATCAGACATAGACAGGCACTCCAAGATTGAGGGCTTATACTGGGTTGCTCTTAAGGAACTTAAATTAAGTTACTATATTGGGGAAACCCTATTATTTATTATATACACCCATTATGGCAACTTAATTTTAAGTTCCTTAACAGCAACCTAGTATATTGGGTTGGGGTTTAGGGCTGAGGCCTTAAAGGGTTTAAGGTTCAGGGTTCAGGATTTAGGGTTTAGGGTTCCGCGTTTAATGTGAGCAAGGAAAATACCCGAACCTCTAGACACCGAACCTCGTTATGGAGATTAGGGTTTCGAGTGTAGTTGGACAAGGGGAATGGGACAGAACACTATGATGTCATTCAGGGTTTAAGGCTTTGGTAGTTTTGGAGTGTTGAATGGCGCAGAGCATGTGCAGCGATTCTTCTGACTAATCCAGCAGATGTAAAAAAAAAGAATTGATAGGGCTTAATTTTGGTTGTTACCCACCCGCAGATGACTTAGGGCTAAATTGGGGAAGGCACTTCCGAAAAAAGAACATGGAAATTGGGACTAAGTCCCACTCCAAGATTGTTCGGCGGTTGGGGTTTGGGGATCTTATTGGGATTGGCGGAATGGATCCGCCCAGCAGTCAGTGGCCCCTGTAGTCCCATAATAGTACCCGGGCGTAAAAGTCTAAGCATGACTAAGGAAGAGGGAAGAGCTCTTCCTGGTGGGAAAGCTATGGAACTCCGACCACGAGGTTGAGATCGTTCCGCAGGCTTACCAAAGATCCTTGGACGACCTGGGTGTGGACTATTTGGACTTGCACCTGATCTTTGTGGGGTCTTCTAAGAATGATGGAGATTTCCCTAAATTAAGGGTACCTTTCTGGGGGTCTTCTAAGAATGATGGAGATTTCCATGAAATTAAGAGTACCTTTCTGGGGGTCTTCTAAGAGCGATGGAGATTTCCCTAAAATTAAGGGTACCTTTCTGAGGGTCTTCTAAGAAAGATGGAGATTTCCCTAAAATTAAGGGTACCTTTCTGGGGGTCTTCTAAGAAGATGGAGATTTCCCTAAAGTTAAGGGTACCTTTCTGGGGTTCTTCTAAGAATGATGAAGATTTCCCTAAAATTAAGGGTACCTTTCTGGGGGTCTTCTAAGAATGATGGAGATTTCCCTGAAATTAAGGGTACCTTTCTGGGGGTCTTCTAAGAAAGATGGAGATTTCCCTAAAATTAACGGGACCTTTCTGGGGGTCTTCTAAGAAAGATGGAGATTTCCCTAAAATTAAGGGTACCTTTCTGGGGGTCTTCTAAGAAAGATGATAGTATTTGGGGTCTATGTGGGGTCCCCTTCGGTGATTCAAGCGACTGGCTTTGCTAAAGGCCTCTAACCGCGATCCAGGCACAAAAGGATATTCCTACTAATGTAGACCCATGATTAGTAAACCCACCCTTGTAATTCAAGGGCCTCAATGTTAGGATCCTTATCATAATCCCTACTAGAGGGATGGTGTTTATTAATCAGGGGTCTACATTATATTCCTACTAATATGCTCGGGATCCCCTACCCCTAAACCTTAAACCCCCTGAACCGTATACACCTTAATCCCTAAACCTTAAACCCCTAAACCCCCTGAACCCTAAACTTTAAACCCCCTGAACCCTACACCGGGTTTAGGGTTTAGGGTTCAACCCCTAAACCCCTAAACTTTTCACCCCCAAAGCCTAAATCCTCTTGCGTAAGGTACTTGATCCACTTCCCCGTAGCAGTCAACCACACGGGTCTCGACAAGCCGAACTTCGGCCCGGGTGCTGCTTGCTGGGCTTAGTAGGGCATAGGGTTTCGGGTTTAGGGTTTAGGGCGGGGAATAATGATTCAGGGTTAATGGTGTAGGGTTTGTATGGAATAAGGGTTTAGGGTTTTGAGTTTAGGGTTAGTAGGGAGGAGGGTTTAGTGTTTAGAGATGTACGGAATAAGGGTTTAAGGTTCAGGGTTAGTAGGGGCTGAGGGAATATCATCTCTATATAATGAATTCCCATCCTCCCCAGTAAGGCTGTGCTCGGCACCACACCGCTGATCGACACTTGGAGGGCCATGGAGAAGCTCGTCGACGAAGGGAAGGTGACCTTGAGTGTCTAGAGTTTAGGGTTCAGGCAAAGATGTTGCTTCTTGGCAACTACCCTGAGTTTAACATAAAGAGAGCAGAGACCCAGATGATGATTAGCGTGCTTCAAGATGTAACTGCGAGCCCGGTACCCTTGCAGGATTCCTGAAATCGGCAAAGAAGCCCAGTGATGCTCTTTGACCCTTGTAGGGCTGTGGGCTCCTTTATACATTCAATCACTAGGAAAAAGGGCACCGTCGTTGTAATATGCCAGGCCATGTATGGGAAAAATGTACATGTCATGTTGACAGTTTTGTGTATTAGGCTCTCTAGGCTTCAAACCACAGCCAAACAACCTTTAGGTATCTAACGGGCAATGAGTGCAGGCAATACCCAACTTAACCTCAAAACGCAAGCCCTGAACCCTAAACCCCTGAGCCTACTTGGGCTCTTTGTGTTCTCAGGTGCGCTCCATCGGTGTGAGCAACTATCCACTCATGCTCATGCACGACCTCTACTGCCAGGCCCTTAGCCTGAAATATATCCAAGGAAACACTACATAGAAAAGAGGTGATATAGGGTCTAATTACAGGACTACATGGGGTTTAGGATTCAGGCCCTAAACTCCAAGCCTTATAAGCCCTAGATCTTAAGCCTCACTTTTAACCCAAAACCCTAAGCCCTAGACTTCGGGCACTGCCCTCAGCCAGTAAAAACTGGATAACAACTTTATATGTAACTAATGTAACTATGTGTAGCCCTGAAAATTACGCCTGTTTTAACTGTTACTGGATGGGGGAAACCCCTACACCCTAAATCCTATAGTCCCCCTTTAGTAGATAGAATATGACTTTGGGTATATTACAATAAAATTCTATCTACTTAAGGGGGACCCTAAACCCTAAACCCTAGATAGTGGTTTCCATTTTCTTTTCCATTATACCAATTCAACCCCTATACTCTATCTACTTAAGGGGTATCCTAAACCCTAGACTGCCAGGCTCGCATCAAGCCGGCCGTAAATCAGATCGAGGTGCCACTCAAGGGTGTTTCTTCGATTGGGGGTTTCCCAAAATTAGGTACCTTTAAAGTGGTTATAGAGAGATATCTAGGGGTATGTAGGGGCTATATAGGGTTTAGGGTTTACCAAGGTTAGGCCTAAAATAAGGGCTATAGTATTTGGGGGGTTTGTATCGGGTTTCCCTATTTAAGGAAATTACCAATAAGGTTTCAGGTTTAGGTCAGTTAAGAGGGCTCATTCATGTAGGGGAAAAAAGTGTTTGGGGATCATAAGGGTTTTGGTGAAAGAGGTTATGTGGGGAGATATGTGGATATTAGGGGCGTCAAGGAGAACCAATAGGAAGAGGAAATGGAAAATGAAATGGAAGCTGGGACTGAACAGCGGTTATAGGGCTTAGGAGGGTGCCTTTTGTTGATACGAACAGTCCTACATGACCTTGGTATACTAGCATCTGCATGGATATTTCTCAAGATTTCCCATAGTTATACCTAGATAAAGAGCCCTCAAGACTAATCTGCGGTTCCGGCAGGTCCTTAATAAGGGTCCCTAAGGGCCCTGCACCTGCATCACTCGGTTTAGGGTTTAGGGTGTATTGCGCAGCAACCTCCGCAACGTCAACAGTTCTTGCAAGGTTTCCTATGCTATATGCTTGGAAGGTCAGAGGGACTTACTGGGTTGTTGTTGGGATTAAAATTAAGTTAACATAGCATGGCTATATAGCAAATAAAAAGGCTTCCTTATTATAGCAGCTTAGCTTTAAGTTCCTTAACAAGAACCCAGCTTAGTATACTTGCAAGCCTTAGAAGCCAAATCATAACCGTTATCCCCATCATTCATCTACGTACTAAGCTCCCCTGACCCTCCAAGTAATTCCCTAAATCCTCAACCCTAGTATGTACTGTAGATTAGATAGGGGACTACTATGGGGGTTACTAAGGGGATGCTAGGAGTTTAGACCCAAATCCCTAAATCCCAAGCTCTAAACCCTGCACTATAGGGGTTATTAAGGGGATGCTAGAAGTTTAGACCCTAAACCCTAATCCCCAAACCCCGAATCTTAAACCCTATACCCTATGAGGTGCATCCCTTCTATGTGCGCGACTCCCTGGTGAACTATTGCCTCAGCCGCAACATCGCTGTCACGGCCCACACACCCTTGGGTGGTGGACAGCTGAATAGCCAGTACCTTGGCTGAGGATTAGGGTTACAGTCCCGCTTAAGTAGATAGAATATAGGAGTTGGATTGGGATAACGGAAAAGAAAATGGAAACCACTATTTAGGGTTTAGGGGCTCCCTTAAGTAGATAGAATATGGGGTATATGGGGATCTTATTAAAATATACCCAAATCATATTCTATGTACTTACGCGGGACTATAGAGTTTAGGGTTAATAGGGTTCAGGGTGAATATTGCTTATGGAAATTGTATAGGGTTCATGTCTGCAGTTGGGCGTGGTATTGGGCGGAGTTTTGAGCAGGTTTTGTGTTTGGTTTTTGGCCTTGTGCATTCTTCTGAGTTTGAGGGTATAGCGCTCAGGGTTTAGGGCCCCAGCCTTGTTGGCTTTGTGTCTTATACAGATTCAGGGGGGCTTAGGCACCATACGCAGTTCTAATCCTAGGACTGCGTATATATGATCCCGGTCCTGGGAATTCTATCCCCCCCACGCCCCTCATGGTATGGTCCCCCCTCTCCAAAATAAACCTCTCAAAAGTGCCCCAACAGTGACAGGGATGAGGGCCGTTGTGGTTTTTGACGCCTCGAAGCTGCCATCCTAGTAAATGCCGTCGCTTTTGGCACCTCGTGCTCTCGTCGCGCCTCAAAAGTGCAGTCACAGGGGGGGATTCTATATGTATACACGTATAACATATGATATGCCAAGATTTGTTTCCACAAGAAGCGAAACACCACCCCGGAACATGTTTAGCCCTTTTTGGGGCACCTTGCAGAAGTGTATTACCAATTTTTCCCTACACCTTATTCATTCCTTAAACCCTGATCCTGTTCACCCAAAGCTCCAAACCCTAAACCCTAAACACCCTAACACCCAAACCCTAAGCCCTAAACCCTAAACCAAGGACGTGGAAAGCTGCCGCCCCTATGGACTCCGAGGAGATCAAAGCCATTTCCGAGGCGAAGGGCAAGAGCACTGCACAGGTTGGAGCTTGCTAAACCTAGGGTTTAGGGCTTCAGGATTTAGGGTTTAGGGATGTTTAGGGTTTAAGGTGCAGGGTCTAGGGTTTAGGGTTCAGGGTCTAAGGTTCTGGGTTTAGGGTTCAGGGTTTAGGGCTACCCTTAGGTATATAGAATACAAGGTATACGGGGGATCTTGTAGTTTGGGGTTCCATATTCCATATATTTAAGAGTGAACCTGGGATTCTATAGGGGTTTTGGGGTTCTAGGGGTTTAGGGTGTAGGGTTTCACGTTTTCGGGCCTGGGATTTGGGGTTTCGGGTTCAGGATTTGAGGTTTTGGGTTTAGGATTGGGGTTTGGGGGTTGGGGATTGTGGAATTGAGGGTTCAGGTGTTAAGGTTTAGGCTCTTAGGGATTCTCCAGCTTTCCTGTGCCAAGGATAGCGGAGAATCAAACGGAAAAAAAAAATGGAAAGTTGAAGTCTGAAATGCAACTGGGTCCTTTGCAGGACTTACATGTACTTGGAGGTGCATGGGTGGTTATAGGCAGGGTTACGGAAGTTGCGTAGGACCTTTATCAGGAGTACACGTGGGGTATAAACGGATATATATATATATGTACACGCATAAATAAATATATATATATGTGTGTATATATGTACATACACGCATATATATATATATACACATACATATGCAGGGAAGGCACGTGGGTACCGCAAACATTGCTGTAATCATCTACCGCTTTAATTCTCCTACTTATCACCCAAATAACAACTACTCATGAGACTCCAAGGAGTCGTAAATATTATTGTACGGATGGTGTGGAAACCCAAGGCAGAACAAATGCTGCTTCTCTGTGGTAGTTGCCACAAACTAAATTCGAGGGAGCCCAATACAAACCCCAAACTTCGTTGATCATACTGAGAGTCATTTCAAAAAGGGGCCTTAATTATCGAAACTCCCATGTGGTCTTCACAAGATAGATCCTGGGCTCTCTTCCTGGAATCTTTCCATTACATGCCCCGCCCCCTGAGGGTAGGTTTGAGAAGCTGCCACGCTCCATGCAAAATAATTCTGATCCTCACATTACCCCCCTCCCCTCATTGCCTAAGAATCCCTGCAACGCCTTGTGCCCTTGTATCTCAGCTTCGAAGTATGGGTCCTGAGCCTTCTTAGGAGGATAAGGTGCCATGAAGGTACACAAAAGGTATATACAAGGCATATGCGTTTGATGAAGGTTTCGTACTGGGGGCCTAGACTTGTCAGCTCACACCACGACCGGAGTCCTAAATCCTCACCCCCAAGCCTAAACCAAATCGAAGTCCTCAAGCTCAGAGAACAAAACTTGTATAGGCTCAAACGGCAAAACACAAGACGCTCCGCAGAAAATTCAGGACATGAAGTCTGTGCAGGTTCCATACACCTTGAACCGTGAAGCTTAACTCTTAGACTGTATGTCCGTCGGACGTCTGTCGCCCTTGCCTGTTTTTCAGAAAAGGGGAGGGACAAATGTCTAAACCCAGCTCCAACAAAACCCAATTCCTCATCCTTAAATCCGAAGCCCCAATCCCCCAGCTTCACTACACCGGATTGTAGGTCATCCTCCGTTGGCTTCTGCAACGCAGCTTGCTTGCGTAGATGGCTACCCGTTCTCCCTGGAAAATCAGAGGTTTCCATTTCATTTTGCATTTCATTTTCCCTTTGATTTTCCAGTATCCCGCACCTTTGTGTATCATCCTTGTATATCCCTATAACCCTTTTAAAGGGACCTAGGGCTTCCATGTTGTTTCCATTCTCTTTTCCATTTGATTCTGCATTATGG